TGATCGCAAAGCAGGGCAAGCCACACACCATTGGTGAAACACTTGTGAAACCAGCTGCATTAAAGATGGCGAATCTGATCCTCAGAACAGCGGCCGAAGGTAAATTATCCCAAATTCCCCTTTCAAATGACACCGTCAGTGACAGAATAGAAGACATGAGTAAAGACATCTTGGCTCAAGTAGTCGCGGATCTGATTTCAAGCCCGGCAAAATTCAGCCTTCAACTCGACGAAACCACAGACGTTTCTGATCTAAGCCAGCTTGCTGTTTTTGTACGCTATGTGAAAGACGACATGATAAAAGAAGAGTTTTTATTTTGTAAGCCTCTTACAACAACAACGAAAGCAGCCGATGTGAAGAAGCTTGTGGATGACTTCTTCAGAGACAACAATCTTTCATGGGATATGGTTTCTGCAGTTTGTACGGACGGAGCTCCAGTCATGCTGGGAAGAAAGTCTGGTTTTGGTGCGCTAGTAAAGGCCGATGCACCACACATCATTGTGACGCATTGTATTCTGCACAGGCATGCATTGGCAACAAAAACCTTACCTCCAAAAATGGCAGAAGTATTAAAAACTGTGGTGGAATGTGTGAACTATGTGCGAAAAAGTGCTCTGAGGCACCGCATCTTCAGTGAGCTGTGTAAAGAAATGGGCTCTGAATTTGAGGTACTTCTGCTCCATTCTAATATTCGGTGGTTATCCCGGGGACAGGTGCTGAATCGTGTTTTTGCCATGCGTGTGGAATTAGCCCTGTTTTTGCAAGAGCACCAACACTGCCATGCAGATTGCTTCAAAAATCCTGAGTTCATTCTCATTTTAGCGTACATGGCTGATATATTCGCAGCTCTCAATCATCTCAATCAGCAGATGCAGGGTGGTGGAGTCAATATCATGGAAGCGGAAGAACACCTGAAGGCTTTTCAAAAAAGCTACCGTTATGGAAACGACGAACAGAGAACAATAACTTCGCAAACTTCCCGCTTCTGGACGACTGTGCAAGTAAGATCGAAGATGTGTCTGGAATCGGAGATATTTCTGTATCCACGGAACTGAAGCAAACAATTGCCACGCACTTAGATGAGCTTGCAAAGTCTCTCGACGGATATTTCCCTACAAGAGAGTCATATCCAGCATGGGTGAGACAGCCGTTCACGTTTGCTGTTGAAACAGCAGATGTCAATGATGAATTCCTCGACGAAATCATTGAAATTCAGCAGAGCCAGGTTCAACAGCAACTCTTCAGAACAACAACGCTCTCAACGTTTTGGTGTCGACAAATGAACAAGTATCCAGTTATTGCTAAGAAAGCTCTGGATTTTTTTATACCATTTGTTACAACATATCTTTGTGAGCAATCCTTTTCGAGGATGCTGGACATAAAAACGAAGAAAAGGAACAGACTTTGCTGTGAAAATGACATGAGAGTGGCACTTGCCAAGGTGAAGCCACACATATCTGAACTGATCTCTCAAAGGCAACAGCAGAAGTCACATTGATTTACAGGTATGTAATTTGTTGTGAGTTTATGCATTGTGTTGGTTTTATTCTTTGAACAAGGTAATGTTCATGCACGGCTCATTTTGTGTACCAGTAAAAAAACATATCTATGTCTTGAATTTGAAAATAAATCACATTTTATTTTTCACTAAAGAGGGGTTCGGTGAATGCGCATATGAAACTGGTGGGGTTCGGTACCTCCAACAAGGTTAAGAACCACTGGTTTAGGGCTTGGTCGGTTTGCAAGAGGTGGTGTGGCCAACGTCACGTGCTGCCCACCTTTGTCTTTCCCGGTCTTTGTACAATGCACCAGGAGCACATTTTAAGGCCGAGTTGACCAACACACGAGGCCCAAGACGGGTTTGAATTCTCACTTGGCTGGAAATTAAACTCGGGTCTCCGTGATTGTACCACTGTGCCATCATTTACACACACACACGGGTAAACATTCAATACGTTATAGCCTTATAGCAAATCGCGGTGTTACAATTTACATGAACAAATACAAAGATCCCCCATATGTCCTTAACAGGGCAAGTGCTGGTAGCAAACACCTATGAAGGCCGGAATGGCACACGAGGGGGTGGGTGGCCAGCACCACGCCCGTCCGCCTTTGTCTCCCTAGTGGTGATGTTTAATCATCACCGGTGTTGGTCGTGAGCAGGAATCGAACTTGGGTGCCGGGGTTCAGAACGTGGCGCGGTAACTGCTATACCACACACACACGCCAGCTCAAGTGTTTAACGCACGAGGCAGAGCTGCAATGGCGTAGCTGCTATTAATTATGACCTATAATTTACTGGGTCATTTACACAAAATATAATTACACGTGGGGACCGGGGTGTATTTCCAGTGGAGACGTTGTAAAAAATAGTTTTCTAAAGCCAAAGTATGCGATGATGTCAATTTATGTTTGTATGTGTGAACTTCTTTCGCACGGAACGTAGCCAATCGTGCTAACCGTTGCTGCCTCATTGGGACGTCTTTCTTCCCGGTTAAAACCAAAAATTATTTAAGCTTATGACGTTCACGTGATTTACTCACTCTCATAGAGTGTTTGCCCAGGCATGCGAAGGGGCAACACTCTAGCCCATACAAAAAGGACATGTTATTAGTCCACACTTTGCTGCACTGCGTTCTTGTGGCGGTCCAGGGTATGGCACCTCAATGCCCACGGGACGGGAGTCTAGCAGCATCCGTGGCAGATTCGGATACCTGATGCACGACTGGGAAAAAATAAAAACTCTTCGGTGTGCGACCGCGGTCATCCAGAACAAGACCACGCAACGTATAACGACGCAATGCCCGATCCGCAAATACGAAGGCGACGTCACAGCGATGCAACTCCGCCACACCTGCAACGCGGTTATCTGGCTCGACCACCTGAATGTGAAATTATAGTCGTTGCTCTGCATCTGGCCCTGCATCTACATCAGCCGTACGAAAGAAGAAATGCTAGATTGCAGGCAACCACGTGCAAAGCCACCACCACCCGGATAAATTGTATAAATTGTTGACGCTTGTGACCAAGGCGACGAGAGCAGGAGCGGCTATCGTCTTGTGTTTTTCGTGGTTGTGCTGTGCGGCCCACCGATGCAATTTCGTTGTTGCACCACCGAGCGTGTTGTCTTTGCGTGACACCCCCCCCTCGACCATGATGCTTTGCTCCACGTGCCGCGACCTATTTCCTCGCTGCTCAATTCGGCTCTTGAAGAAGGTCCCAGCACGTGGAGCGAAACGTCGGACGTCGTGCCGAATCAACGCGCGGTGGCACGACCCGACCCCGAAAACCCACGGGAAGAGATAAACGCCGGGAGCATGTTTTGACACGCAGGATAATTTACAGAGCTCGGATGCATCGTGCTCGCTGTGAAGATGAATGCGGTGGACACAGGTGGGGGTTGGGGGGTGAACACAGGTGGGGGTAGGGGGTGAATGTGTGCACGGGAAAGGATTCACAATTGATGCTGAACTGGCAGCCCAGAGAGATAATGCCCCCTGGATGGCCTGACAATGTGGGAAGTGATTTTTCATGGCCAAAGTCAATAACCCAGATAATTGTGAGAATGGATGTTCTTACAAAGGGAAACATTTGCACCTTTTGGTGGTGGTTGTCCGCAGCCTTAAATGTCCTTGGGCAAATTTTATCCTTCTGACCGATTGACGGCAGGGAAAATGCGGTCTCGTCATTCGGTTGTCGTTTGCTGTTCCACACTTGGCCATAATCTGCGGCGCATTCAGTTATTAAACTGCTTGTCGCAATCCCAGACATGCGATTTTGCAATCCTAACCTGATCAAGCGACGAAAAGCTGTTCAGATTTGCGATACGGAATTTTAGATTTTACACGCACCTCTTCAATGTTATTGAATGATATCTCAAGCCCATGACTAAATCTCTTGAGAATTCGCAAGACCTCGCCGGATCTTGGAATCCATCATTGATACCGCCTGGATGTTTGACCCATCATGCAAGCATAACAGTTGTTATCGGCTTGTGGGGTTACATTGCAGGCAAGCGAAGGGCAGTGCAGAACATCTTTTGTACTGTAATTATATGTTCCCACATCTGTGCGCCCCCACATCTTTATAACCCTGCACTGACCATAGTGGTGCAAGTATGGTCAAATAATCCCCAAAACCAGCACTGAGTGGGGAGGCCCTCATCCAGCAGTGGATTGACAAAATGGCCTGGACATGCACGTAAAAAAAAACCCGTTGTGAATGCGTTTCATCTCGGTAATACCTCGACCTGCACATCGGTGGCTTCTAATAATATCTAGATATCTCGGTCGACTCGGATTAAAAATGAGCTATGCCTGGTGTGGTGTGGCCTAGTGTCGGTGCTGAGAAGACAAAGGTGGCTGGGCATGTGTGGTGTTTCGGCCACACACAATCACCCTCGGCTATACCGCCGTGCGAATATCAATATACAACAGCTGAGCACACTTGCTTTTGGCGTTCTGTAATGACAAGTTAGGAGAGGACTCTTCTTGTCTTTGCATTTGCTTGTGTGCCTGTGTGGGTGTTGTGGGGCCTTCATAGGTCCTTGCTTACAGCACTTGCCGCAACAGTCTGTTAAAGCTACACGGGGGATATTTGTCTTTGTGTTGTGTGGGGAAGCAGTAGTGTAGCAGGTTAGCACACTGCACTATGAACCAGGTGATCTGGATTCGATTCCCGCTTATGGCCACCACCAATGACCAATTATCCAATACGGTCCTAGATCTCCCCGATGTCGACTCGGCCCGGTGCGGTGTCTAAACATCACCACTAGAGAGACAAAGGTTGTCGGGCGTGGTGCTGGCCACCCACCCCCTAGTGTGTTGTGGTGGCCTTCATTGGTACTCACAGCACTTTCTCCAATAGTCTTTTAAGGCTACACAGGGATCTTTGTCTTTATTGAGTGCCAATCAAACTTTAATTTAAATGAAAATATATTTTTTAATGAGCTCATTATATTCACATTCATAATTTTTTCTCCACCCCCACCCTTTCCACAGTGCGTCTACATGACAGCATCTCGGAAGAAGGATTCCATTACCTGCTCTTCGATCTGTAAGTCCTCTTTGTCAAATAACATGCTCCGATAAACTATACTGTACCTGGCGCTAACTCTGTAATCCCTGGGAGGATGATCTGGGTTGCAGATTAACCGTGCTTATGAAAACTTTTTTTTGGTAATTTTGGGAAAACAAATTTTTCGCACGTCGAGGGATGGTGACTCGGTGCCCAAGGAACCGACTCATTTTTAAGCGGTATTAAAAACTGACGACGCATTATACATCTTTACCCTCCCCCGCCCCCCATTCTCTGTAGATAAACAACAATCACGCGTGTATGATCTAATATGCACGTGTTATTGCATTATTTGTATTCTAGTTTTATCTGAGATATCTTTCTCTTCCCCCTCCCTCTCCATTATCTCAAATAATTAAGTTGACTATATTAAAGCCACACGGAGTTATCGTAAACATCGTCAACCATGATCAAACCACCGCTATATAATGACCTGCCCAAGCCATCGCCCACCGCTCATATCCTGCTATGTAATAATCCACACGAGCTGAATTTCAGCACTCCATCTCCTCCGTGGATATTCCCTTGGAAACGCAATCCATTTATTGTCGGGAAGGGACGGATGAAAAAAAATGTGACCATGTCGAGCAGGCTCAACAAAGCCCAGGTAGTGTAATTTCACAGTGGCATGATCTGGCTCTCAGCCTTTAATGACTTCACACTATGATCCAGGCCACGGCTTTCAAAAGGAGGCTCACAAATTGGGTTGAAACAATCCACCGGCAGAGGTGGCCTTTTGGCTCTGGGGAGTAATTCCCATATTGCCGATGCTGAGCCGGCATCTCACGGGAGCCAGAGTTTACCGGTGTGGGTGCACACGTACGAACGCGTGCTGCAGAGCAGTCGTGTAACATGGCGCGGCGCGCCCGACAGAATCATCTCGGCCGTTCGCAGGCGAGCGCTCTGAGAAATCTCGCCGCACCCGCTTAGTGTTGGCATATTGCGTTCGTGTCTGAGAGAATGTCTACAGATGAGGTGGGAGCGATGAAATAAGCTCGGGTGCAGGGGGGTGGTGCGCCCAGGTGGGTTTCGACATTGGTGAGTCATGAGATGATACAGCGGCAGCTTTTCGGAGATTTTAATCCACCGGTGGATCGATCGTGGCTGCCTGAGGATGATTTTGTTTGATTCGTCATTTAATGAGACGAGGGATTGGCAGAGTTGTGCATTCCTGGTTAAGATCGATTTTACGTGAGACAAGAAAGGGAGTGTATGGAGGTTTGATTTAATCAAGGGCGGGATAGCAAGAGATGTAGATGGAGATCAAAGAACTGCCAAACCACGCTAGATTAGGAATGACATACTGCTGGTGATTGATGTGATCAAACTTGAAGTGGAGCGAATGTGTGGTTTTTATATTTTTAGGTTCATGTCAGAGATTGACGAGATTCCCTGCAGCCGCTAGTTGCCACTTTCGAGATTGAAAATTAATTCATTTTGAACTACTTTTTGTTTTTAGTTTGTTTTCCTTTCCCCACACCTCCGATTTGCATGGTTGGCTGTGTCCGGTGCGAAAGAAGTTCAACATACATGTATACATACACTACATTCACCACAATGTAAACAAAACAATAACATTTACAATCGCTTCTTGAATTACCTCGCAACCCTGAATTGTCACCAGGGCTTTTCATTTCAGCCAGAGCTGTCTGGGGCTGAACTCTGGAAAAGATATTCCTGCCCTGCCCCGCTTTTAGAGGAGGGTACGGGGGTGGGGGGGGATGGGGAAGCCGGGGGGGGGGGGGGGGGGGTGTGAGTCATTCTGCTGTGGAGCATTTCACTATGAGCTGTCGTGTAGGGTGATAGGAGCTGAGAGCAACACGGGGGCTGCCACGGAGAAAAAAACGCCGAGCAGTGGCGGCCCTGCTCCTTGGTCTAGAGAGGAGGTTGTGAGTCGGCCTCCTGCGGAGGGTTCCACCGTGAGCTGTCGTGCAGGGTGGAGGGAGCGAAGATAGATATGGGGTGGATGCTTCACAGGTAGAGGCGTGGTGGCACAGGCAGGGGATCTTGTAGCCGACCCTGCTGCCCATGGGAAGCTTGTGGAGGGAGTTGAAGGCGAGGGAATCTAGCAGAGGATGACAGGTGTCAAGGAGGATGCGTGGCGAGATGGTTGTGCCACGATTGGATTTTTATAGACGTCACCCTGCAGATGGAACGAAGACGGAGTTGCAGTCGTCGATGCCGGGTCCCAACCTACGCTGCAGGCGAGGGCAGTGGCGGTCTCGGTGGTCGTGAGTGGACTTAAATGATGCAGGGCCCTGAAGTGGGAGTTGCAAGATCCAATCTTATAGTTGGTGTAGCCGTCCAAAAGACTGTGGAGTCGAGAGTGATGCCGAGGAACTTGATGTTGTCGGAGAAATGGACAGAGGAGCTAGCGATTTTAATATTTCCAAAGGGAGTGTGGAGTTGAGACGCTGTCGCCGATCAGGATCGGGCTTCGGATTTGTAAGCATTTGCGGAAAGATCATGGGCCCAGAGCCACTGCTGCAAGGCTGGAGAGAGCTTCTCAAATCTGGAAGCATAACCAGGGATGAACACTTCCCCTCCACTTTAACCACTTCCGATAAGCACAGTTAGCTATGTACAGTGCGAAAAGTTTAACATCCATACAATGAGTGTGTAGACTTCCTGAGGCAGTCTGGGCGAGACGATGGATGTTGGAGGTGCGTGTTGCAAGAATCGGCTCGTTTGCTATCTTGCAGGCCGCTCTTTAACGCGTCCGGACGGCGGTGAGCCCATCCACTCATCCTTTCCCGTGGATGGCATCGGCGGGATAGCCAGCGGTCGGGGGGGGGCGGTGGGGGGGGGGTCATGTGATGACGCGCGGAGTGGATCAAGGTTTGAGCTCTGCCAGTTTTTATCCAATGCTGACCTAACGTCGGCTTCAAAGAGAATGGAGGGGTGGGGAAGGAGATGAAGATGGAGTTGGCAGGAGATGCTGGAGGGTGGGGAATATCGATGCCTTTGCGACTGTGTGAGTAAGCGGTTCGTTTTGATGGTGAGAGGTCTGGTAAATTGTAGAGGAGTGACGATACGGCAGTGGTCAGAATAGTGGTAGTGCAGTAGTGCAGCGGTTAGCGCTACGCTGCGCTACGAACCCGACGACCCCAGTTCTATTCCCGCTCATGGCCAACACCAGTGACTAATATCTGAACTGTTCCTGGGCCTCCTCTAGGTCGACTCAGCCTCGTGAGTACCTTGTGTGGTGTGTAAACATCCCCACTGGGGAGACAAAGGCGGTCGGGCGTGGTTCTGGCCACCCACCCCCTCGTGTGCTGTTCTGGCCTTAATAGGTGCTCGCTAACAGCACTTGTCCCAACAGTCTGTTAAAGCTACATGGGTTTTTTTTTTCAATGGACAGAATAGCCGACTTGGAATGAATCAATTGGAGAGATGCAACATTTGAAACGTCGGTTCAATGAAGAGATTGTCTGTGCTGGCGAGGTGATGGTGAATGCTTCTCGGCAGAAGGGTGTAAAGCTGTGGTGAGGTATGTGGAAGCGGAATGGGGCTTGGTAGGACAAAGGGCAGAATAATTGGAAAAACCCAAATAAAAGAGAAAAATGAATGTAATTGAAAAGGGAAAATGAAATATTAAGTGGGCATTGATGAATTAAAGTGTCTTGGCCTTGCTGATCAGGTGTTATTGGCAAATACACTCTAAATGTGCCTGCCTCAAAAAAGAAATGAATTAATGGCTCTTTATTTTTTTCTACTCAATTGACATTCATTATGGTTCATATACAAAAAAATAATTACTACCTTATTTTATATAATGAATGATAGTTTTATTTCTCACAATTGCTCGTCCTCATGGTTATGCTAAATTGCGAAGAGTACCAGAATTTGTATGATTTTTTTCCCCATATTCAATTCAACCTCTGACCAAAATTTACATATTTTTTTACATGAAAATTAAAACGCCCATTTTTTTACTAGAAATCCCCCTGTAATTGCTGCCATGTCAGGCACATATTAGACATGCAGATCTTTATTATTCAATACCTAATTAAGCGAGGGACTTTAAGCCAAGTTATCTGACCAAATCTTTTAGCTCTGGAGTGGAAAACTTTTTCGATACCAAGAGCTAAAACATTAATTTTAAATACGTTTTAGCGGCAACCACATTATTAACGTACACCGTCGTGTTGTCCAAGAATAACGCAAAAAATAATTAGGGCTTACTTTGGCTGTAATAATGAGATGGTTTCAGTAACGTGTTGATTTTAACGCACTCCGCTCGAGTACCCTATTTAGTGTGGCTAAGATGCTTGACTGAGTAGCGTTTGCTGGTCGGTTTGAAATGGGCTATGCATCTCGATTATTTAGATTATATGGCTGCTGAGAATTTACACGTGATAAGCCACTTCGTTGAGTTATTGTTTATGGCCTGGTTGCTTCTCTCAAAGAAGCTAATGGCTCAGTGGGCCTTATTTGGTAAGATAAAACATTGCTTAGCTTTATTTGTATAGATTTTTTTAAGTGATTTGTTTTCCAATCCTATATTTTGCACTCCTATCGTGTTTTTTAGTATTCTAACGTTCTGACCTGCTCCAACTGGACATCTGTGAAAAAGAGCCTTATAGGCTTGTCAGATTCATCCAGTATAAATAAATATTTTAATTCGGAAGTGGAGTCACGGGCCGTATGTGTCCCACCATAGGGCCACCATGGGCCCACCAAGTGCCCACTAAGGGCCGCATGAAATGAGGGTGAGGGCTGCCGGTTCCAGACCCCTGTTTTTAGGAGGGCATTACAAAGTGCCGTTTTGTTAATGGCGTGCGGTGGTCCTGGGGGGCCTCCCTTGGGTTGACCCAGTCTTGAATGGGCAACTGGTGCAGTGGGTGAAAAACATTAGCACTGGGGAGACAAAGGCGACCAGGCATGGTGTTAGCCACCCACCTGCTCGTGTGCCGTGCCAGCCTTCATAGGTGCTCGCGAACAATACTTGCCCCAGCAGTCTGTTCAGGCTATACGGA